CATCATGCACCACTCATCATGCACCACTCATCATGCACCACTCATCATACACCACTCATCAGACACCACTCATCAGACACCACTCATCATCCAGTTAGCTCTAGCTCCAGTTAGCATCGTGTGCAGATTTCGTGGCAGGCACAGCGCTTTGTGAACCTCCATGTGCAGATTTCGTGGCAGGCACAGCACTTTGTGAGCCTCCATGTGAAGATTTCGTGGCAGGCACAGCACTTTGTGAAGCTTGAGGTGCAGATTTCGTGGCAGGCGCAATACAAAATACGTTTTCGAGAGATAGCGGACGCACGAAATGCTGCGTTTTTCAATAGAAAGGGTGGCTCCGATGCTGGCGAGACGGTATCGGGTCATGGTCGGATCATTTTCGGATCATGGGCGGAATCGTCCCTCCATTGCGATTAGAGTTTTCACTTGTTTCTTGAAGCGCAGATTTCGTGGCAGGCACAGCACTTTGTGAATCTCCGTGCACGCTTCGTGGCAGGCGCAGCACTTTGTGAACCTCCATGCGCAGATTTCGTGGCAGGCGCAGCACTTTGTGAACCTCCATGCGCAGATTTCGTGGCAGGTGCAGCACGTTGTGAACCTCCATGCGCAGGTTTCGTGGCAGGCACAGCACTTTGTGAAACTCCATGTGCAGATTTCGTGGCAGGCGCAGCACTGTGTGAACCTCGAGGCGCAGACGTCGTGGCAGGCACAGCTTTGTGAACCTCCATGTGCAGATTTCGTGGCAGGCGCAGCAGTTTGTGAACCTCCATGTGCAGATTTCCTGGCAGGGCGCAGCACTTTGTGAACCTCCATGTGCAGATTTCGTGGCAGGCACAGCACTTTGTGAACCTCCATGTGCAGATTTCGTGGCAGGCGCAGCACTTTGTGCAGATTTCGCCGCAGGCGCAGCACTGTGTGAACCTTCGTGCGCAGATTTCGTGGCAGGCACAGCACTTTGTGAACCTCCATGTGCAGAATTCGTGGCTGGCGCAGCACTTTGTGAACTTTATGTGCAGATTTTGTTGCAGGCGCAGCACTTTGTGAACCTCCACGTGCAGATTCCGTGGCAGGCATGGCGCTTTGTGAACCTCGAAGTGCAGATTTCGTGGCAGGCACAGCACTTTGTGAAGCTGCATGCGCAGATTTCGTGGCGCGCACAGCACTTTGTGAACCTCCACGCGCAGAGTTCGTGGCAGGCACAGCACTTTGTGAACCTCGAGGTGTAGATTTCGTGGCAGGCACAGCACTTTGTGAACCTCCATGTGCAGGCTGAGAACTGCTGACTTTGTAGTACAACTTTAGTACGCGGAGTAGGCTGGAGGGTGAGAACTGGCGACTTTGTAGTACAAGTACAACTTTTTGGTACGGGGAGTAATCTGGCGAGGCGGAGGCTGAGAACTGGCGACTTTAGTACAACTATAGTGCGCGGAGGAACCTTGAGAGCTGGAAGCTGAGAAGTAGTACAACTATCGTGCGCGGAGTACTTGGGGAGCTGGTAGCTGAGAACTGGCGACTTTGTAGTTCAACTTTAGCACGCGGAGCAATATGTGGAGCTGGAAGCTGAGAACTGGCGACTTGGTAGTACAACTTTAGTACGTGGAGTATCTGGGGAGCTGGAAGATGAGAACTGACGACTTTGTAGTACAACTTTAGTACGCGGAGTATCTGGGGAGCTGGAAGATGAGAACTGGCGACTTTGTAGTGCAACTTTAGTACGCGGAGCATCTGCGGAGCTGGAAGCTGAGAACTGGCGACTTTGTAGTCCAACTTTAGTACGTGGAGCAATTCTGTGGAGCTGGAAGCTGAGAACTGGCGACTTTGTAGTACAACTTTAGTACGCGGAGTATCTGCGGAGCTGGAAGCTGAGAACTGGCGACTTTGTAGCACAACTTTAGTGCGCAGAGCAATCTGTGGAGCTGGAAGCTGAGAACTGGCAACTTTGTAGTACAACTTTAGTACGCGGAGTATCTGCGGAGCTGGAAGCTGAGAACTGGCGACTTTGTAGTACAACTTTAGTACGCGGAGCAATCTGTGGAGCTGGAAGCTGAAAACTGGCGACTCTGTAGTACAACTTTAGTACGCGACTTTGTAGTACAACTTTAGTACATCAGGGAGCATTGACCTTGCACAGGTGGCGCTGTGTTGGTCAAAAGTCCGGAGCGCACGCGTCTGACTGAGGGGCGCGAGGGACACGCATGGTGGAAAGAACCGGGACACTCCTATAGGTCAATTTGTTCTTATAGGAAACTTCCGCCGCCGGCTTGCCCGGGAACTACTTGTAGATGTTACAGGCAGCGCAGTGCCTGGGATTATTTTCACCACTGAGATGCTAGCTTTGCAAGTGCACTCAATACGTGTTCAGTATTCTTACCTCCAAGAGTACTGGTACGTTACAGCATTTAGTTTGCAACGGGATTCACATCGGAGCCCCGTCCTTTCTTAGCCTTCCGATGCAGATTGTGAAACAAGAAGTTCTTCAGTTCCAGCCACTCGATATCAACTCTCCAAGATTCATTGAGAAACAGAACTACATAGGAAACCATGCCTCTTGCTTCCTTCGGGGAAGTGTGCGGGACCGATTCCAAGCCGTCTGACAAAGCAACGCAAAAGAAAACAATCAATCCATTCCCAACCGACAGTATACAGTAAGTCCCACTTTCCAAATGAAAAACGGTTACGCCGCTATGCCGAAAACAACCGGACACAACATCATACCATGAAAACGACTGCAATCTAATTGGAACAATGACAACCTAATGACAACGATGACAATCTAATGGATAGCAAGACAAACACAGAATGCGCTTGGCATCTTCGTGTCATGTTAAGCAACCACAAGAAACAAATCATACCTTCCTACCCCATCCTGACCCCCACCCTTCCATGATCACAATCTTGTAATAGCGATGACGATGACCCACATGTGACAAACATCATATCATTAGCATTAATTAGCCATGGAACATCAACAGCGCGAAACCACCAGGCGACTGAGGGAACTGCGGGCCACCATACACTGCATATAGTTATTTTGTGACTGCCGCACTGAACCACCTCTATGATCCTCTATGTAACGTAGATGATAACTTCTCAGCAAAACATTCCAACAACGCCCCCACCAACAAGCACCCGAAAGTCTTTGCGATCCCCAGAGCCCTGCGGATTCAAGCGACATTAGGTCCCGTCACACACCGGCGTCAGGGCAAGAGTGACGGTGAATTGGCACTGCGTGTGATGGTATCACGTGCCAGCAAGGACCGTACTGTCCGCCTGGCACGTTCTTGGAGAATGGGTGGTCACGGCTATCAACCTTCAAGACCTAAGTATTCAGTTTTGTTCACTGCTGTGGGGTGTACCTGTGTTTGTAGTTGGTGGTCTTGATATTACATGGTCATGTTTTCGGATCATCCAGGCAGGGTTTCCCCCAATCCACACTCTGGGAAACTCGAGGGTCCGTCTCTTCAGCCAGCGACTGAGGGAGGGTCTTGGGCTCCTGGTTGGCTCCGTACGTATGTGGGATTTGACATGTCTCATGACCTACTTTGGACTTTTGACAGACTTGTATACCTCTGAACTTGTTTCTTGTTGACTAAGATTCGATTCTCAAAACTGACCAGGCGTGAAAAGCGACCTCTCACAGCTCCACTTGTTTGCTAGGTGGGATCCGCGAGCCCAGGCCAGGACCATACCAATAGCCAAGATATTGTGCGCAGTGACTATGTAGAAGTCGATCGACCAACATTTCAGCATGTTTCAACAACAAAGCAAACTGCATCGTGCTTTTGTGTGTGCGGTACATAGTATATATTAAACATGGCACAAGAGCAGCATCGGCTATTGCACGCCTTCACTGCGACAGTACTTGGAGTCACTGCTGTTTGCATTGCAGCAGCTTTTAGATCTTTTAGAGCAAGATGAGCAAGCAACACCACACTACAAATGTGATAAAGCTCCTGATGTTGTGATGGTGAAGCATTTCATTGTGAGAACATATAGCAGACTGAGACCCTTCAAAACATGCAGGAAGCATCAAGAAGCAGCATCCAGCAATTATTCAGATTATTCAGGTGCCGGCCGCAGTGCGCAAGAAAACAAGAAGCGGTAGAAGACCAACGCGCAAATCACACGACATGAGTCATGAGCTGACAGTTGCATGACTGAATGGCGCCAGCATGAGCAGATCCGTGATCCTCGCTGTTCAGCCCAAAGACCAAAGTTGAGATCAGTTGATCAATCTCCCAGCATTGGAATGTTTGTATTGTGGCAATGTTGCTTGACTGCTTTATCCAGAGCTGCTAATGTGTCCGTTCAACCACCCTTTCAGTACCATGCAATACCTGGGTTGTTTCCTCCGCACAAAAGGTTTCACTCGAAACCATGCCAAATCGTGTATCCCTGCGTGACATACCGTGATGCCGAATTCAGTGTGTTGCAAGGAGTTTGTTAAGGCAGTTTCCCATGATTTCCCATGACTAATTACATCTAATTACATATCAAAACTCCAAAACATGCAGGCCAAACTGTGCTGCTTTTTGATCACGTACGTGGGCCTGCCTTGATGAGAAGGCGGGCTGCCTTCATTTCAGCTCTTGTTTCATTACACTTGTTGTCGCGATCTATTCCTTGCTGAGCAACAGTGTGAGGCTGAAGATTGAGCAAGGGTGCATTTTGCGATCCAAACTACGGTTTGGTTTCTGATGATGGCTTTTAGGGCTCAGACGCAAAAGCTGATCTCAAGATGTGATTTTGACACATGTTGGCATCGTTTCAATCGTTTCTGCTGTTTTTCCTAACGCTTTGCTTTGTGCAGCGCGCATTCTCAGCAAGAGAGCTGCAGGCAGTTCAAAGCCGCATATCAGATACCTCGCCAAGACATCACATGATTCCTACATGTGTTTCTTAGACAGGTTGATGTGTCACTGGATGTTTGCTTCGATTAACAAGCATGCCAACTAGTGCATCGAAAATGACTTTCTAGTACTATACACACACACACGAGTACTACAGTAAAGTTCGCAGAGAGCCAAGGACCAGATTTGTTTAGCCAAAGAAGTAGCAACTTACAGAAGCGCTTAAACATCTTAAAGAGCAAAACGGTGGCCTTTAACTTCACTGAGTTCAGCTTCTTGGGTACATAGCTTTTCAACAGTCAGTGGTCGGCGGACATGGCAGCTGTGCAACAGCATCCCTTTTTGGGCATCAGACTGCAGGCTCCTCCGCAGGTTTGTGTGCTATACAGGCTCCTTCGCAGGTTTGTGTGCTACACAAGTGAATTGCATTTCAATTCCATGACTGTATGACTGTCCAGTTTAACTGTCCTCTCAAGAGAAGTGCTTGGTGCTTAGAAGTGACATGGGTCAAGGCAGAGCGGCCAAGAGAATGCAAAGAGAAGCTGACCGCCGCGGGCTTTGCAAAGGACTGTTTGAACGCCATGATGCGTACAACTTCTCAAGCAGGGTTGCAATGTTGGGTGAATATATATATATATATATTATATATATATATATATTGTTTTCACAAAAGCATCTCCGATGCTTGGGCTCTCGTTTAGTCGCTAGTGCCGCGGAAGAGCGAGACAAAGCATGCGTTGTCGGGGACGGAAGATGGATGTGGAGGTGGACGGGGTTGGGAAGGGAAGAGGGAGGGGAAGGAAGGGAGGGAAGATGGAAGGGAGCGAGACGGGAGGCGCATGGGTGGGGACGGGGCTGGGAGGGAAGATGGAGGGGAGTGAGACGGGAGGCGCATGGGTGGGGACGGGAAGATGGAGGGGAGCGAGACGGTGGGGACGGAGCTGGGGAGGGAAGATGGAGGGGAGCGAGACGGGAGGGCATGGGTGGTGACGGGGCTGGGGAGGGAAGATGGAGGGGAGCGAGACGGGAGGCGCAGGCCGGGCTATCAAAAAGAAAACAAATATATATATATATAATATATATATATATATCAAAAAAGAAAATGTCTATATCCTATCAAAAAGAAATTATTTATATCAAAAACAAAATATCTCTCACAAAGAGCTGTGCCTGCCACTGCAAACCGCCTTGGCAGCGCTGCGCGATGTGAATCTGGATGCGCAGATTTCGTGGCACGCGCAGCACTTTGAGCATCTCCAGTAGCAGATTTCGTGGCAGGAGCAGCACTTTGTGCACTGGAACTGCAGATTTCGTGGCAGGCGCAGCACTTTGAGCATCTCCAGTAGCAGATTTCGTGGCAGGAGCAGCACTTTGTGCACTGGAACTGCAGATTTCGTGGCAGGAGCGGCACTTTGTGCACTGGAACTGCAGATTTCATGGCAGGTGCAGCACTTCGTGAACCTCGAAGTGCAGATTGCGTGAACCTCTGTCTACAAGCGCAGACTTCGTGGCAAGCGCAGCGATTGCGAACCTTGAAGTGCAGTTTGCGTGGCGTTTGCAAAATTCTGTGGATCTCAAGACCTGTGAAAAGAGCTCTTGATATCTCTGGATCTGAACATCTTTCTACACCATCTGCAAGTCTAGACCCCTAGAACTTAGATTTCAACACCTCCTGGATCTCAAGACTCAAGACCTCTAAACCTCCATCCTCTTCAAAAATTTTGCCCTCAGGTGGCTCACAAAAGGTTTGCTACCTTGGAATGGCACTTTCTTCGTCTAAATTTTGCCGTCAGGGTGGCTCATCAAAAAGGTCTGCTACGTCTGGCGATAAAAGGTCTGCTACGGTGCTTCACAGGATGTATGACCAGATTTCCAAATCACCTTGAACGCGTCTTGCCTCGAAAGTACAGAAGGACCAGAGGACCAAGGGACCAGAGGACCAACGGACCAGAGGACCAAGGGCAGGGGACCAAGGGACCAGGACAAAGGGACCCAAGGACCAAGCGACCAGGGAACGAGCAGAGGACCAAAGGAGTAGGGGGAATTTTATTCCCCACCTGCCAGGTGAGGGTTGTTAGATTTTATCGCAGTTGTTCTTCCTCCTCCTCCTCCTCCTTCCTTCCTCCTTCCTCCTTGCTTCCTTCATCGCCAATCTTCTTCGCCAATCTGCTTCGCCGATCTTGTCTGGCAAGACCTTTTGTCAGCCTTGCGAGGTTAAAACTTAGAGGAAGAAGTTGCCATTCCAACGTAGCAGGCCTTTGTTTTGTGAGCAACCCGAGGGTAGAACTTGCTATTCCAACGTAGCAGACCTTTTGTGAGCCACCCGGGGATAAACTGTAGGTGCCACGCCAAGGTACAAAGATGGGCCCCCCTAGTTGGAGAACTTGTAAAGCGCCGTAACATATGTTATAACATGGGTTAACTGATGTTGTAAGCTGGTCTAAGATTGTGAAGTGTTCTAAGTTCTTGGTGGTATTTACGTTGCAGTTACAAATTACTTTCGATATATATAAGTAAGTTATCCTAGTTTATGTTGGAGGGTGCTAAATTAGTGCTAAATCACTTACAACTTACTTAGGGAACTTAGGTTCTTGCATTGAAAAAACTATGTTTTTTGTGGACGGGTTTGCAGAGAAGCGTTTTTTAATGTTTTTTTGTGTACTCTTCTTTTTTGTGTAGAACTGAGACTGATTAGCATATCTTTGTATTTTGTGTTGTTTTGGAAACATTTTTTCTGTTTTTATGGGCGCGATTGTTTTTTATGTTTTAGTCGTGAAAAATTTGTGGGGTGGTGGTCCACCCGTACGACAGAGTAGTACTTTGCACACAGAAACACGTAAACATGCAACACGCACACGTAGTAGAATATAGTGTAACGAATCCATTATGTAGGCCATGGAACAACTAGAAGCCATTAAGCTGGATCACGCCCCAAAATTGAGGAGTAGACCCTTGCCTGTCCGTGACGCATCACAAGGCGCACACACACACAGTCCCTCAAAAGATCTGATGATGAACAAGAGGCTTTATGTACAGTAGATGTACGGTAATGTACGGTAGATGTACGGTAGATCTCCCGTACATCTACCGTACATCTACCGTACATTACCGTACATTCCCGTACATCTACCGTACATTACCGTACATCTACCGTACATCTACCGTACATTACCGTACATCTACTGTATAGCCTCTTGTTCATCAGGGTGCGCCGCGTTTTTTGGGCACCGGCCACAACTTTTTGGACGGACCACCGCGATCAAAATTTTTGGACGGACCACCGCCATCATCTTTTTTGGACGGACCACCGCCTTCAATTTTTTGGACGGACCATCGCCTTCAATTTTTGGACGGACCACCGCCCAGCGTGTTCCTAACACACAGATGTAGGTCATTGTGTGTGTTCTGTTTTTCTTATGCGTTTTGATGGTTTAAAGTAGAAAGTGTTTTTCTTTTAGCGCGGTGGTGGTCCACCGAAGAAATTCGAAGCGCATTTTTTGTTTTTTTGTTTTGCTTTTTGCTTTTCTTCAGCAAAGCGGCGCGGTGAGTGTTCTACATTAAAAACCCTTGCAACAGCAGCGCTTTCCCAGGTAAAAAGCATAGTTTTTCGATGTCCTTCGGTTTGGGCCTTGCTACTGGGAAACCTGAAAAGACATAGTTTTTGAACATCAAAAATCACCAATTAGAACTTATAGAACTTAAAAATAGTTACATTTAAGTTACATCTTACTTACGAAGCCCTCCGGCTAACTTAGTTTTAAGTAATTTGTAACTTCACCAAGTAAGCTACAAGTGTTTTAACTAGGGGGGCCCATCTTTGTAGCAGACCTTTTGTGAGCAAAATTTAGAGGAGCAGTATAGACCTTTCGTGAGCCATGCGAGGGCAACATTTACCGGAAGCAGACCTGTTGTCAGCGTAAACTTTAGAGGAGGAAGGTGCCATTCCAACATAGCAGACCTTTTGCGAGCCATCCACAGGTCTTGTGGTTTGTGAGCCATCGTGAAATTCAGAGAGATCACGGTTGAGATATCTACAAGGATCCAGAGGCCTGGAGATCGACACAGATCTGCAGGTGTAGAGGTCTAGAAACCCACAGACCTTGCACCCCTGGACCTCAACCGCAAGGATCCGATCGCAGTGTGCACCC